ATATATACATATATATATATATATATACATATATATAAGTTGTTGCTTGTATTCAAATCCAAGGTGATTTGACCAAGTATTTTCGTATTTTAATTGGATTATATCGAAGATGAACTTTAAGGCCATATCATTTTGCTTTATTCATGAATGTTCTTAATTGACATTTGCAAGAGGAGATACCTTGGTGTATGATTTTGCTAATGATATTCTTCTTATTGTTAAGACTAGAGAGGTAGTTGTAGGAAAATTTAATTATAAAGGTCAACTTTAGAGTCTAAAGGTTTTTATTTGAGTAGATCAAAAATCAAATACATGGAATATAACTTTAGTATTAATAGATCTAGTGGTGTGATTGTGGCATTTATATGCAGACAACTATATAGAAAAAGCCAAGAGAGGAGAACACTAGTACTAGTAAAACATAACTCGATTCAAAACTTAGAATATCAACATCCAAACAAATTTCAAAACAAATGGAAGCCAAACAAACGAAAACAAAATTAAAAATAAAAACAACTACCCTCAGAACAACCGACTAGCGGTTTTCTCACATGCAACGAAATAGTATGTAATATAAAAGATGTGTTAAAGGGCATGCAAACCAATGGTCCACCACAGCTACAAGGGCCAACGTCCACCAAAACTCCTCTGGCAAATGCTACCAAATCAGCCAACAAACTCCTCCAATAGCTCAAGAAGAAAGATACAAGTGGAGTGGAACTTGCGGAGAGAAGAAGGAGATAAGAAGCCCAAGACAAAATTGTAGAGAGGAAGAGAAGATTAGACAAGCTTGCAAGCCTTCCAAAGAAGAAACCCTCAAGTTTTTTTTAGAGAACTTAGCTTAATAATCAACAACCTTTCATGCAGCAAAACACTTCATAGTTATAGGAGAATAGGGGCAGCCAAACAGCCAAAAACCACCTCCAATCGATCCAATCAGAACAAGGGAAATGGAAGGCCAGCAAGCGGTCCAGAAGCAGCAACCGAAGAGCCAAAAGGAGGACAGGAACGGGCGGCTAGGGGAACCGGAACAGACAGCTTGGGGAACTGGAACAGGCGGCCACAAGGGAGAAGAACCAGCCATGGGAAGAGGAGCTAGGCGGGGAAAAACGAAGGGCCACAGAGAAGGGGAAAGGGCAAGAATCCACTCCACATAATGAGCTAAAAAGTAGGAGAACTTCCCATAGTAATGAGCTGAAAAAACAGCAGCTCAAACATTAATGAGCTGGAACATAGTAGCCCCCAAAAACACAGCAAAACCCGAGCAGTTAAGCCCAAACCGAGAAGCAACCAGCAGCCCAAGAACCAAGGAACCAAAATAGCTAGCACACCCAAAGTTTGCCAAGCATAAGCACAACCTACTCATGATCATTGGATGTCTTCCATCATAGGGTAGCATAAAAAAAAACTATAGCATTCAAATTACAAACTAAAACAAAAAAAATTGAAATTTTCATGCATCACATTTGGTGATCAAGTCAGTAAAAAGAGTGCAAATTTTAGATATCTCGAGTCTATTGCTCAAAGCGATAGAGAAATAGTTGGGGATATTATTAGTATAATTCAAGTTGGATGGTTGAAGTAGAGGAATGCATCGAGCCTGTCGTGTGATAGGAAAGTATCCCTCAAACTTAAGGGAAAATTTTATAAGATAGTGGTGAGATCTGCAAAGTCTTATGATGCATAATGTTGGCCATTAAAAGAGAAGCATAAAATTAAGATTAGTGTTGTAAAGATGAGGATGCTCAAGTGGATGAAGAGAGTTATAAGCATCTTGTTTGAAACTCACCTACCTATCTCTCACCTGTCTTGATATTAGGTTCCCTGCCAGTGTTGTAAGTAAATATATAAACAATTCTACTAAATATCACATGAAAGTTAACCCATTCTATGGTACTTCAAGATAAGATAAAAAAAATATTTGCCATACAAAAAGTCATCTATCAAGGAAATTAAAAGTTTCATATATGATTATTGGGTTGAAGATGCATAGGATCGAAGATCCACCGCTGGCTATTCTATTTATGTGTGAGCAATCTTTGTAACATAGAGAAGAAACGATATGTTCTTTCAAGCAGTGTTGAAGATAAATATGTGATAGTGGAATTTGATATTTGTGAGTGGATGTGATTAAAAATATTATTAGAAGAGCAAATCTATTAAGTAGACAAAATCTCTAATACTGTACTGTGACAACCAAACTGTTACAAATATTTCACCAACATCTTGTCCGCCATGACATAACAAACACATTGAGATAGACTAATATTTCATCTAAAACATAAGAATTGGACTAAATTATATTATAATGAACTCTCTAACTAAAAATATCCTTACTAATTGATCTTTACTGAAAATTAGATTTGATAACCAAATTAACAAGTTGGGGATGATCAACATATGCAAACCCAACTTGAGGGTAAGTGTATTAATAACTCTTAATTCATGACCAAGAATTTTTTATCTATAATAATACAACAATTCCTGGATGGCAGTTTTTCATCGCAATAATCAAACAATCTGTGGTCAATAGGTTGCCAACCCTGACATTCTAGCTATCCATGGTGATAATAGCATTTCATATACAATAATTCAATAATCCATGAAACATCAACATTCAATTTTTGTTGTATAGTAATTATGGATTTCAAATTTTAAGACTGATTTTTAGCTTTTTTTTTTCTAGACTGCTGTTTCCCAATCTATTTATGTGCAATTTCTTATTTTTTTAAACAACAATTAAATAAAATTCAGTGATAAAAAATTTTCAAGACCTGTACATGATCATGATTAGATTTTATACTGATGTTGGAAGTGTCTTTTTGTTTGCCGAGGCAGAGCAACAAAAAATCAGCCTTTTGTTATATCGTGCCATTAAGAAATCCCAAGTCAAATAATCTCAAGAATTTAATTTGACGGTTATTTAGCAATGACTACTAATTGAATTACTGAGTTGATTTGTTTCAGGGTGCTGTTAGGGGGAAGATTTGTACTTGTAATAACCAGTGGATTTGACTGAATGTTCATTCCATTTTTTACTATTAAACAACAACAACACAAACAACAATAACAACATCAAGCCTTTGTCCCACTACGTGGGGTTGGCTACATGAATCCTTTTTTGCCATTGCGTCATGTTAAAAGTCAAATTATCATTTAAATCTAATAAAGAAAGATCATTTCTAATATTTTCTAACCAAGTCTTTTTAGGTCTACCTCTACCTTTCTTAACATAAGTCAAATATAATACCTCAACTTTCCTAACCGGGTCATCGAAAGGCCTCATGTGACCAAACCATCTAAGGCGACTCTCTCTATTATTATCTTCCACTAGAGCTACTCCAACCTTTTCGCGTATATGCTCATTTCGTATCCCATCTCTAAGGGTAAAGCCACTCATCCACCTAAGCATCCTCATCTTTGCAACACTTAACATAGTATTATGCTTCTCTTTTAATGGCTAACATTCGACACCATAAAGCATTGCAGGTCTCACCACCATCTTATAGAATTTTCCCTCAAGTTTGAGGGGGACCTTTCCATCGCACAACAAGCCTGATGCAATATCATCTAGGGGGTGTAAACGAGTCGAGTCGAGTATTTGCCTTATCAAGCCTGGCTCTTTTAATCCTTAATGAGCTCGAGCTCGAGCTCGATTAGTGGGCTCGAGATCGACTCGTTTAGAAAATATTAAGCTCGAGCTCGACTCGAAAGCTCAAGCTCGTTTGATATTATAAAAAAAATAAGCTGTCAAATATTATAAAAAAATAATATTATAAATAATAAGTAGCTTGATAAGCTTTCGAGTCGAGTCGAGTCGGGTTGAGCTCGAACTCGAACTTGTTTATCATACGAGCTCGAGCTCGAAGCTCGATGAGCTTGAGCTCGGCTCGCGAGCTCGTAAACGAGTCGAGTTCGAGCCGGCTCGGCTCACTTACACCCCTAATATCATCTTCATCATGATCATTGGCCTTATAACTGTGGTTAGCTTCATGACAACTGACTCTGTGTTTCTGCTGATTTCTGTATAAGATGTTAAATACATTTGCATAATTTATATAAAACATCATGAAATAAATTGGCTTTTCATTGACATTATTAAAATTTTCTTCGCCTTATAACTGTATTGATGTATGTCAATGATGAATTTTTTCAATTGATGGCATAAAACTGGATGCATAATACATGTTATGATGTTAACTAGCTTTCATGTTCTTACAGAACGAGGATAGAGCCCTTTGGAAACTTGGAACACTGCCACCCGGCTTGTTGACATTCTATAAGCTTACACATCCACTGAACAAATCTTGGCATGTTCTTGGTTTAGGTTACAATCCCAGCATTGATCGTTCTGAGATAGAAAATGCTGCTGTCATACATTATAATGGTAACATGAAGCCTTGGTTGGAGCTGGCAATGACCAAATACAGACCTTACTGGACCAGATATATCAACTATGATCACTCTTACATTCGAAACTGCAAGTTGAGAACATAATTGAAGCTGAACAAAGGCATGATTCCTCCCTACTCTCACTTTCTTCCTCTTCATTTGCCTCACAAGAGAATTTTTTACGCTGTGCCACCTTTTTTACATCTCCATTCTTTGCTAATTTTTGCTAGGTTTTTATCTTTTTTCTTATCATCCTACTTCTCCCTTCCATGTAGATCTTTCATCTTCACATTGACATCTGCTTTGTTTGATGCACTTTAGCATGTAGAACATAAGAATCACTTACAACTGAGGTATACATGTAATTGGTGAATTACATGTTCATCCTAATAATTATAAAAAAAAATGAGAAATTGTTATTTCATTTAATTATTTTGTAAAAATATAATGCTGATTGTGATGATGTTATTGAAATATTAGTATGTTCTCTTCAAGTTTCTTGTGTTTGATGACATTGTTTTTTATTGATGTTCGGTCAAATAATTGAACCTTGAATCTCGAATCTCTCTCTTTTTCGGTTCTATATATCTGGTTCGGATTTTGCAATTTTGCATAACATGCATACATGTTAAATAAATTAAAATCATATCTTTTTTTTAATATTTGTATATTTAAAATAAAAATTTAAATTAGAGAGTCCCATATGTAATGTATATCTCTCCTTGTTGATTTGAAGAAATAAATAAAATGGGAGATCTTCTTTCTCATTATGATTTCTCATTATGACTTATAATGACTTGACTTATGGCTCCTTAGTGGGCTGAAAAGAGTTTGCTTGATAGTGATAATATTGCCCAATTACATTTAATAGGGGAATTGGTTGCTTCAAGATATTAAATTTATTTTAGAATATTTATAAATCAATATAAATTTTGAATATCTTAAATTCTCAAATGTCAATGATTTAATTATTACACAAAATAAATGAATAAAAAAGTCATTTTCTAATATTACTCCCTAGAGGGACATAATTCTCCCCAATAGCATTTCCTTTTTCTTTTGTTTTATTAAAGAAACTTCTGGATTTTTTTTTCTTCTTTTTTTGGTTTTTAGCAATTGAAATAGCAATAAGGCATATTTGAGTATTCCAACACTATCTATAAGAACTCACTTGATTACTTATAAGATAGGAAGAGACAATATTTAATGGATTTTTATATGGCAATTACCCTTTTTTTTTTGTGAAGAAGTGGTCCTCCATTAGCATCTTTTAGTGGCAACATTAGCCAGCAATTGGGATTTAAAGAGAGCCACTAATAATATTCCTGCCTAATAAAAACAAAATAGACAGGCATTATTGGCTTAGAAATTGAACTATATCCTATGCAAACCTAATCAGATTGCTGAGTAAAATATCTTGAAAATTAATTATAGGCATGTTTCTTCTTCCTCTCATCATTTATGAAATAACATAAACAAGGTGAAATGCTATGCTCTCATAATGCATGGGAAATAGTTCATGAGATAGTTGGACTCATGTATTATGATCATAATCTCTCTCTCTAAAGTGAAATTATTATGTGCGGATACGGATGCCATCCGGAGGCGAATTAGAGCGCGCCACGTCGGCCGTTTGCTATTTACTGCATCTATGTATTGGGTGACATGGCTCGTTCTGATTCGCCTTCGAACAGTTCGATGTCCACACAAAATAATCTCTCGTGTCACACACACACATTAGTTTTGTCAGGTCCCAAATTCTGGATGAGAAAAATGAAGGATTACATTAGGTAGTTGACAACCGGCGTAAAATTTATCGATCAATTATATTAATTTTAGTTTTATGACATCTAAATTTAATGTTTCTAATAAGAAATTCTCTTACAATGCGAATCAAATTCTATTTTCTCATTATTTTTAAGTTTTTATATTTTTAAATAACAAAATATAATTAAGATAGGTACCAATGAAGAATTAGGTTGATATTCCCAAAGTTGTAAAATTCAGAGATAATGCCAAAACCCATAGGCTATATATATCCTCTCTGGTGTAAGCTTGTGTATGATAATATCCTAACAGTACAATAATATGACAAATTAGGTATATATGATTAAGTCACACAATACTTTCAAACAAATAATAATGACATTCTTCTCGTGGAAAAGTGCTTTAAACTAATCACTTATTTCGCGTTAATTACAACTTTGTGAATATATTAAGAGAAATCATTAATGGCTAATGAGTTAATGGAAAAGTTAAAAAGGGTTTAGATCCATGAGGCCGGCTAATGCTTCTAAGGCCTACTTGGCTTTTGTTGTTAGTATTGGGAGCTTTGGAGAATGGAAGGTGGACCATTTAGTCGATTATAAGCTACTTTTGATGAATTATGATTAGTCATCATCATATCAAACAAATTTTATGGAAAATTTTAATTTCATTTAAGTTGTTTGTCTTTATGATGAGCGTATCATGACACGTGTTAGATTATTGGATATATTCTCTTCTAATTTTAATTTTTTTTTTTTTTGTTTAGGAAATGTGAATAGTTAAATTCATAAAAAATAAATATGTTCAAAAGATTCCAAGAGACATGTAATGGAATATGAATGGTGGTATGAGAGTTGGATGCCTTCATTTATTTACATTAATATAATTAAGAAATTGTGAATTTGAGTTAATAGTTAGTGCTCTTTTTTTTTTTTTTGATAATTTGAGGGCCACTCCTTGATTTTATTGATATAATCTATCTTCTATGAGTTGAGTTACAAAAAAATTGAAAAAAGAAAATCAAACCAACAAATTTGAAATGTCAACTAGCTAAAACGACAACAAAAGAAAAAAAAGAAAGACAAAATATATAAGTCAAGAGTAATATTTCAAAGGGATTGAATGGAAAATAGTTAAGTTAGGCTCAAAATGAGAGTCAATAAAATTAGCAATCTAGTAAGCATTATAGCTTCAATTGAAATGGTAATATTCTTGATTATTTAGGCAGTGAGGCGAAAAAGCAGTTGAGTTTCACCTCTTATGAAAGTAATAAGTAGTCTTGGTACTATCTTAGGCTTCATTTGGGACGATTTTCTTATTGTTTCTTAAAGCAGTTTTTTAGTAAAAAAATAAATAAATTTTGTACTAAAAAGCATCTTTAAAAAGCAGTAAAAAAATTGCCCCAAACAAAACCTTAGTTGCATTGGAAGTAATTTATTTGTGATTTATATAGGCAATAGTGTATTTGTGTTGCACCTATAATACCACCAATATTTTAATCCAATGGCATATAGGAAAGTATCATTTCCCCAAAAGAAAATATAAGTACTCCCAATGATAAATTGTCATAAAAAGTTCTTCCAATGATAGCTAGTATAAAAAATAGTCATAATCCCAAGACCCAAATAACAAATGTAATAATAAAGTCTAAAAGATCTAACATTCTAGAAAATTGCAGAAGAGCAAAAATATTACTGTTACTCCACAAAAAAAAATGTTGAGGTACAAATTTGATATGAGAGAAATTTGATTTCAAGATCTTGGCAATAGCTTTCATAATTAACTAAGCTATAAAATATTAGCATGCAAATACATCAATAATCTTTTGTGTTAAAATGAATTCCATCAAAATACAAAAAATATTTTAAAACAAAAGGAGATTTATTTAAAATAAAAATATATTTGATATAAATTATATAATGTTTAAATATAAATGTAAGATAGTATGATAGGACTCCAACGGGGGAGAACACATAATGGATGGAGCATCAGTGACAAAGGAAAGAGAGATGAACAGTAAACTAGCTCAAAGAGTTCCAAAGGGCAAGTAGATAGAGTGGGGCCGATTGTTGTTGTGAAAAGAAAGAGTAATATATGGTTACTTAATAGTTTATCAAGGGTTGTTTTGGAAGAGGTACATATAGCTATAGTAATTATTGAGGCATTTAGTAGAGTGAGCAAAGTGTTATTATTGTAAGGAGTATGACAAATTTTGCAACAATATTCTTTGTTCATCTTCTTACTTATGCTTTCTTTCTCCAGAGTAATTACCAACACATCAAATTTTTGAAAAATTGATGACTAGAATTTAGTGCTCTCATTGAACATTTTTGTCAAGTGCTTCAACAAAATGCCCTAATGGTAGAACATTTAAGCTGTGCTCAAGACCGACTCCAAGCAATCATTAAGCTTGATGTGAAATTACTCTACAACTAATTCTATCCAAATAGGAATAACAACTCAAAGATAAGCAATTGAATAAATACAATTGTTCAAATAATCTCAAAGGTTATATTAAATTAGGCACAAAAATAATGACTTAATGGATGATGAGAAAGATGTTCCCATAATTACACTTTGGTGGAATAATAATCAACACATTTAGAATTGAAGGAAAATTACCCAAAAGAAAAAAATGCAAATCCTCATTAAGTAACGAATATCCGCCCAAAACTTAACTTGGAGAATTTTTGGGCATTTAATTACACTAACATCAAAATCTCAAGTGTTTGTAGGAAATGAGGAGACATTGGAATGTTGTAGCGAGTGTGCTAGTCTACTAGCATTATTGAATTTTGAAAGGTCCTTCACGATCTTCATGCCAAAAAAACTACTCATAAGAAATCAGTATTGATGTAGCATTATGACAACAAAAAAGCCTATCAAATTCATCATTACAAAAAACTAAGAACAAAATGCATTGAGTGCATGTCCATGCCTATGCAATAACATTTTGTGATCACAGACATAGCTGCTAAATGATAGCAATACTTACTTGGCTCCAAATTCACTATTATAATGGAGTTAATAAGTTAGTAATCCAAATACCTAAACAATAATATTTTCCAATGAAATCATTGGGATATAACTTTATAAGTGATTATAACATATGAATTACAAAAACAGTCATAAAATTTTCATTTAAAGAGAAATAACCCAATAGTTGTATAAGACCAACCCCAAAGAGCTTCTCTAATATGGAGTTCGGGCGGCATTTTGTAGAGTAATAGGACAATCCTAATACCTAGATCATCACATTTGAAAATAAAGATACCACATGAATACCACTCAAACTTATTATTATTTCATTTAAATGAAAAATGAGGATTATAGACAACATGATATAATACAAAATGAAATTTAAACAAAAACAAGTAAATTTAATTCTAAAAAATAAGTAGAAAATAAGCTATAGGCTTAAAACCCATAACATATTTAATAAATGCTTCTAATTAAAAAGAAA